ACTATATAACTTGCACTTATATAGCATCCTCCACGCAGGGTAGCATCTCAGAACACTTATCACGTCTTCGAGACATCTCAAAATGCTTCACAGAATATACTGTAAAGTATAAACATAGTTTGTGGGTGAAATGCGGCAGCCAAGTGCGCACAGCAGTGTCCCACAAACAGTCAATTCTGACTTACATGTTATATAGTACATTAACAAGACTTTGAGACTTCAGTTCTGTGGGACTGTTACTTATTCTGCTGCAAAACTGCACCTGTATTGATTTTTTAAAAAATATATTTTTGGGATGTCCTCCCAGTGCAAAATGTAATTTGCTGTTGCTTTTACTTCAAGTTTTTCAACCTGAGACGTAAGATGTTATTCCCAATTGATAACAACAACAACAACAACATTACATTTGTATAGCGCCTTTCACGTTGGGAGGACATCCCAAGGCGCTCGACAATCAGTGTTTCAGACCCGAGCTGAGGGTCAGGATTGGGGAGGGTAGAGGGCAGGGGGGCAAGGAGGGTGACCGAAGGTACGGTCGAAGAAGATGCACTTCTCATGCTGTCTTGAAGGAGGCAAGGGAGGGGACGGAGGGACTGTGGGATGGAATTCCAGAGGTGGAGGCAAAGTGGCTGAAGGCCCACCCACCAATGGTGGGACGGGTGAGGCGGGGGACATGAAGTATGCCGGAGCCTGCTGAGTAGAGGGAGTGGGCAGTATGGTAGAGGATTAAGAGGTCGCAGAGGTAAGGGAGAGCAAGGCTGTGGAGGGCTCTGAAGGTGAGAACCTGGATCTTGAACTGTATCCTCTGTGGGATGGGAAGCCAGTGGAGTCAGGCAAGGATGGGGGTAAAAGGGTCATGGAGCCTAGTTAGGGAGAGAACACAGGCTGCAGAGTTCTGGATCATCTGCAGCCTACGGAGGGAGGAACTGGGGAGGCTGACAAGCAAGCAGTTTGCATAGTCAAGCCTTGATGTTGGGGAGGCTGACAAGTATGAGGTTCTCGGCGGCCTGTAGTGTGAGACAGTGGTGGAGTTGGGCGATGTTGCGGAGGTGGGGGAAGGCAGAATGGATCATGGCATAGATGTGGGGTACAAAGAATAGTTGAGGGTCAAACAAGATGCCAAGGTTCTGGACTGGCTCAGTGAGGTGGAGTGTGCATCCATGGATGGTGTTGCTGTCAGCGCCTGAGGTGCGGAGGCACTGATGGGAGCCAATCAGAAGGTCCTTGGTCTTGTTGACGTTCAACTGTAGAAAGTTAGCTCTCGTCCAGGACTTGATGTCTGACAGACATTCTGTCAGCACAGCAGTGGTCCTGGAGTCAAGGGTGGAGGCTGAGAGATAGAGTTGGGTGTCATCCACATACATGTGGAAGTTGACCCCATGTCTGTGGTTGATGTCACCAAGAGGGAGGACATAGATATTGAAGAGGAGGGGACCAAGGACAGAGCCCTGAGGAACACTGCACAAGATGGTGCGGGGGATAGAGGAGAAACTGTTTGTGGAGATGAAGTGGAGGCAGTGTGAGAGGTACGAACTACACCATTCAAGGACAGAACAATGAAGGTTGAGGTGAAAGGAGAGGCGGTGGGGCAGGATAGAGTGGTCACCATAGAAGACCAAAACAAAAGAAAGGAAGTAAGCCAGAACAGCCATTATTAATCATATATTGCCATTGGCGACCAGTGTGAAAAATCTCATCTTCAAAGATTGATTTGCGACCTTGGGGTAAATATGAGTAATTGTCGTCTTGCTCTAACAAATGGCACTCTCCTTGAATCTGTCAAATTCTATAGCTCATCTCCCTATTGTTTTCAAAGACCAAGGATTTCAGAGAGTGCTGTATAAATATATATAATTACCGTTCTGCTCCTTCTGGTTCCCACCATCCAAAAAAAATAATAACCCTTGCATTTGATATGGCACCTTATCACGTTGTTTGGAAGTCTCAAGGCACTTCACAGAATATATTGAAAAGTGAATTGGCTGTATTTTGTGGGCGAAACACAGTAGCCCACAAACAGTCGAGGATTGAGTTGTAGATTCAAAATGTTTTCGTTGTGGAGTTCTGTAGCTTAGTAGTTAGCGACTCGCCTTGCAAACGATAGGATCTGGGTTTGTTTCCCTGGCAGGGAGAAATGTTGGGCAAGTTTCATTACTCCACACTCCTCTGTTTACTTAGCAGTAAGTAGGAACCCAGTTGTTAGTTGATTGGTGGATCGCTTTTCCGGGGTAATAATCCCTTCAAAAAATAATAGTAAATTGGTCACTCAATCCATGACTGTTTGTGGAACTCTGTTTTGTGCAATTGGCTATCACGTTTCGCCCACAAAATATACAGTCAATTCACTTTACAGTATATTCTGTGAAGCACTTTGAGACGTCTTGAAGACGTGATCAGGCCCTATATCAAATGCAAGGATTATAATTATTATTATCAGCAGAAGAAAATCCTTTGGCCCTCATCTTATCCTTACAGAATCACAACCCTATCACCTCAAGTGGAATCTAACATCCTGGTTTCTAATACCCTTCTGATAAACCATTACAGCTGTTCTGATCATCTATGTAAAAAGACATTCCCAGTGTCTTCCAATATTGTCCCTCCCACCCCTGTTGTTTACTTTTTTTGAGGGCCAAAATCCTAAGTGTCCTGTTTCAGGGCCACTACGCAAATGTTACCAACACCCTGCAATGGGAACCGAGTCAAACCCATAATAAGGCTGAAACATTTTCCTATTCCTACTGGAGGGAGACAACAGGATTACCTTACATCTATCAACTTTTTAGACTGCCAATAGGCCTTTGTCAACTCTTGGTCTCTTTGGCTATACCAGTTCTGTACATTTTGAGCTCATTGCACCGCATCACCAAAAAAATGTGCTGAAGCTTCTCAATCATTTTAGCAGGTTTATTCACCAAACCTGCTAAAATAAATACAAAAACAAAATTTTCAATAAGTTAAAATTGCCTGTATAAATTTACCTGTCCTGGTACCTTTTCCTTACGTTTAATTTTTCCTGTGCTCTTCAGTTTTTAATTGGTCATGGTCAATTCCATCTCTTTGGCCAGCTATTTATCTTAATCTGGTTTTGAAGCCAATACAAGTCTGAGAATAAACAGGGTCCCCATCATAGATGTGACCAAGTTATCTCTTATCAGAATTTTCACGTTATCTGAAGGATGGGTATGGTACAGACATGTGCACTGAGGGGCTCAAATGTCTGTGCTCATTTCTTGACTCGTCAACCCTCAAATTGGGAGCAGGAGGTAACAAGGGAAAATAGAAAGTTGTATAAAGTTTGTGATGTTGAGCCGAATTTGTGAATTGAACCAATTAATTAATTAGGTGGCAATGCTCCCTGCTGGGAAATGCAACGTCCCTTTCAGATCTAAATTGACACCATCTTTATCTTCCCTTGAGGAATAGAAATATTCTGTTTGAATATTTCTTCCCCCCCCCCACACCCCCGATTAATCTGCTGAGGAGGGGTGGAATTCACATTCCTCAACTCAGGACTATTTTTGTATTGATGGGAGTGAGTGGTCTTAGCCCAAAGCGACGGATTTGATAAGGAGAAAATGATTCCTGCAGGAAATCTCATTGCCAGCCTGCTCAGCAGCACAATTTTTTTTTTAACAAATTACATTTATATAGCGCCCGATCATCCTGGATTGGAGTGGGAGGTAAGTGTGGTCCCGGGGACTGAGCCGGCTCCAAGGTGACCTGCCTGGCAACGGAATTGAAGTCGAGTTGATCCGCTGTTGCTGAGCCGGGTAGGTCAGCAATATTCCAAGGGACTGTCGATAATGGACTCACGCTGGGGGGGCAGGGATTTTTCCCACTTAGCTCTGGTTAACCCTGCAAGCCAATGGCCCATCATAAAAGGTGGTGCTACGGAGACGAGCAGCAGAGAGCTTGTCAGATGATGTTTGCAATTTCAGCTTGTGAGGGTCCTCCCACCACGCTTATGGCAGATGTCCGCCAGAGAGCCGATGAGGAAACCCTGTGAGGCTCGGGGTGACGGCTGCTGGAAAGCGGAACCTGGAGTCCCAAGTTGTGAACGAGCGTCGGTACATCCAGTGCCTGGCATCCACCTCGCTTGTTTTGCAGAGGGGCTTAAGCAGCTGCTGTTTCTAAGGCTTTCGTTGCATGCGAGCGGGGGGGGGGTGAAAACCGGTGAGTAAAAGCCACCATCACACCAATGCACCGCTCGCCTTTCTCCCGTTTGGTTTAGCTCGGCGAAGGGCGAGCGACCGGCTTCGCCCGCGCAACACAACAGCCGATTCACTTTGCAGTCTGTTCCGCGAAGCGCTCCGAGACGTTCGGAAGACGCGGAAAGAGCGCTGTATCGAGCCGCAAGGGTGAACTACGGTCATGTACAAGATGACCGGGAACTGGGTGCCTTGCGGGGGGGGGGGGGGGGGGGGGGTGTTCTGTATTACATTGATCGGTTTCACCCACAACTTTGCATTCGCCTGTTGCCCCAACATTAGGGGCAATGTTGCTGCAGTTTATCCTCGCTGTTGGCAATGCTGCAGTGTAGGCCGATCTGAAGCTGAACTGTTCCCATAATTGCTCCACTGCTCGCCCTCCCCCCCGCAGCAGCAGCAGCAGCAACAACACCTCCCTCTCCCTCCCTCCCTCCCTCCGAACAGATAAGTTGCCTCCCCCCTCCCATTAAAAAGCGAAACTCGCAGCTGCTGGCGTGGAATCGATTTTTTTTCTCTCCCTCTCCCTCCCTCTCCTTTCGTATCGGAAGCGGCAACGATTTTAGCAAAGGTGAGACTGCACAGTGGGAGAGGGTTTTTTTTTTGTTTCGATACAGATTGCATTGGGAAGGCTTTGCGCGGGCGATCCCTTACTGCTGCAGCTCCTGCAGCTGCTGCTCCAGAGCCCGGGCCGCGCGCGCGCGCGAGCGTGTGTGTGTGTGTGTGTGTCTGTCCTGTCACTCACTCTGAGTCCCGGAGCGCGCGGGCGCTGAGTGACGGCCTCGCGCCGCCCGAGACCAACGGTCAAACCGCGGTCTCAAGTCAGTCAAGTCGGCGGCGGCGGCGGCGGCCCTGCCCGAGAGGGAGAGAGAGGGGCCCCCGAGCAACACCACACCCCCACCCCCCGTGTCTTCAGTTTTCAAGGCCTCAGGTTTTACTTCTTGTTTTCGTGTTCCGAACGGTGTGTGTTTCGGCCATCGGGGGCTCTGCTCGGCTTCACTCCCTCACTCCCTCCCTCCTCCCCGCTTTTATCCGGTACTCTCCCCCCCGGGGCGGGCAGGACATTATTTATTTACCCCTCCGTTTCCTTGTCAGTCTGCACCACCAACTCCCTCCTCCCGTGCCTCTTGTCAGCCGGTCCTCATCTCTCCCCACCCGATTCCCCTGACAGTGTGTCCTTACCCCGACCCCCCCGACCCCCATCCCCTGTCAACCTACCCCCCCCCCCCCCCCCACCCATTGCCTTGTTCGTCTGTCCCTTATCCCCCCATATAACTCCGGTCCTTATCCTCGCTCCCATTTTAAGATGTCTCAACAACGTGGTAAAGCACTGTATCAATTGCAAGGATTATTATTATTATTATTCCCCCGTCAGTCTGGTTCCCCCCCCCCATTCCCCTGTCAGTCTGCCCCCCCCCACCCCCATTCCCCTGTCAGTCTGTTCCTCCCCCCATTCCCCTGTCAGTCTGTTCCCCCCCCCATTCCCCTGTCAGTCTGTTCCTCCCCCCATTCCCCTGTCAGTCTGTACCCCCCCCATTCCCCTGTCAGTCTGTACCCCCCCCATTCCCCTGTCAGTCTGTTCCTCCCCCCATTCCCCTGTCAGTCTGTTCCTCCCCCCATTCCCCTGTCAGTCTGTACCCCCCCCATTCCCCTGTCAGTCTGTTCCTCCCCCCATTCCCTGTCAGTCTGTACCCCCCCCATTCCCCTGTCAGTCTGTTCCTCCCCCCATTCCCCTGTCAGTCTGTTCCTCCCCCCATTCCCCTGTCAGTCTGTTCCTCCCCCCATTCCCCTGTCAGTCTGTTCCCCCCCCCATTCCCCTGTCAGTCTGTTCCCCCCCCATTCCCCTGTCAGTCTGGTTTCCCCCCCCATTCCCCTGTCAGTCTGTACCCCCCCATTCCCCTGTCAGTCTGTTCCTCCCCCCATTCCCCTGTCAGTCTGTACCCCCCCATTCCCCTGTCAGTCTGTTCCTCCCCCCATTCCCCTGTCAGTCTGTACCCCCCCATTCCCCTGTCAGTCTGTTCCCCCCCCCATTCCCCTGTCAGTCTGTACCCCCCCCATTCCCCTGTCAGTCTGTTCCTCCCCCCATTCCCCTGTCAGTCTGTTCCTCCCCCCATTCCCCTGTCAGTCTGTACCCCCCCCCCATTCCCCTGTCAGTCTGTTCCCCCCCCCATTCCCCTGTCAGTCTGGTTTCCCCCCCATTCCCCTGTCAGTCTGGTTTCCCCCCCATTTCCCTGTCAGTCTGTTCCCCCCCCCATTCCCCTGTCAGTCTGGTTTCCCCCCCATTCCCCTGTCAGTCTGTTCCTCCCCCCATTCCCCTGTCAGTCTGTACCCCCCCATTCCCCTGTCAGTCTGTACCCCCCCCCATTCCCCTGTCAGTCTGTTCCTCCCCCCATTCCCCTGTCAGTCTGTTCCTCCCCCCATTCCCCTGTCAGTCTGTTCCTCCCCCCATTCCCCTGTCAGTCTGGTTTACCCCCCCCCATTCCCCTGTCAGTCTGTTCCTCCCCCCATTCCCCTGTCAGTCTGTTCCTCCCCCCATTCCCCTGTCAGTCTGTTCCTCCCCCCATTCCCCTGTCAGTCTGGTTTCCCCCCCATTCCCCTGTCAGTCTGTTCCTCCCCCCATTCCCCTGTCAGTCTGTTCCTCCCCCATTCCCCTGTCAGTCTGTTCCTCCCCCCATTCCCCTGTCAGTCTGTCCCCCCCCATTCCCCTGTCAGTCTGTTCCTCCCCCCATTCCCCTGTCAGTCTGTTCCTCCCCCCATTCCCCTGTCAGTCTGTCCCCCCCCATTCCCTGTCAGTCTGTTCCTCCCCCCATTCCCCTGTCAGTCTGTTCCTCCCCCCATTCCCCTGTCAGTCTGCTCCTTTCACCCCTTTCCGTTCTTCACTTTATTTATATTGCCCCAATCAATCTGCCCCCACCTCCATTTTATCCCTTAATTAGTGATCTACTTCCATTTAAGTGTGGAAAGTTGAATCAGATCTCACTTTGTGCTATCTGCCTGCGTGGCAGCTTTATGTTTGTGTAATGACCATATGGCAGTTATTTGAACTGTAGATTGGCACTGAGTCGAGACTAAGCAGTAAGTGTCAAACCTGTACAGGATGTGCAACTTCACAAATGGATAAGATGTTGGCATTAAAATAATTTTAAATCGGTTGTTATTCGATTTTCCAGGGTTAACAATCCCTCCAAAAAAATAAAAAAATTTGGATACTCAATCCACGACTGTCTGTGGGACATTGTTGTGTGCAATTGGCTGCCGTGTTTCGCCCACAAAACATACAGTTAATTCACTTTACAGTATATTCTGTTAAGTGCTTTGAGATGTCTCGAAGATGTGATAAGGTCCTATATCGAATCCAAGGATTATTAATAAAAATAACTTGTACTTAATATCTTGTGTCTTTAACCTTAAAAAAAGACTTTTGCAACTAATCTGCAAAGCACCATAAACAATGAGATGAGTTCCATGAACAATGAGATGAGTTCACAATTAATTTGGGTTGAACATATTTAATGTAACTATAGCTGTGCAATATTACAGTTCTAATTGTCACCAGTGTTTTGCATCTTAATAACTAGGTTGCTTAGTGGTACCAACCTGGATAAGATGTTGGGAAATGTAATTGTGGCTTGAAGGAAAATGATATCTATCATTGTCTAATGACTGTTGTATTATGATAGAATTTACTAATGTGTCACTAATGTGGTGGTGTGAAGTTCTGAGTGTACAGTATAAATCAGTGCATACAATTATCTGCATGCCAATTAACCATTTGTCCAATTAATCGTACACTTTTTCCATGCAGAAATTGGATGTGGTCATTGAGATACTGGATTGCTGTGGTGTGCGTATGTGGCGTTTCTGGTTTGGTTCGTGCAAAGGTCTTAAATATTGAGTGGAACTTTGGCCGTGGGCATTACCTGTATCTGGGACTCAGCACATGGTTGGAAACAAAGCTGGCAACGTCGCACATGTGCACAACTAAGGAACAACAATAAGTCTTTAGAATTTTTACATTATAGATTTTAGTTTTAAAGATGGAGGTTAAAAAGAGAGAACTAGGAAATTACTGAGATTGGATTTCCAGTTACCTGATATCCAGCATGTTAGGGGATTACAGTATTACTTGCTGTTCTGGTCTATGGACGAGAGAAATCAGACAGGGTTTCCACTCCTAATTATTATCGAGTTACCCTGCCTTCCTGCAAGGAGAGCATGTAGAGTTGTCAGATTTGCCTCTAATGCACCTCATGGTCAAATAGTTTTAAAAAATTGTCATTGTTTGTGTATGAAGGCAACTTGTATCCGTGAGTCCATATCCCAATTTCAATTTTTTTGTCAATTTTCAATCTAATAGTTGTTGGAACTTCAGAAATCAGTATTTTTAACGCAGTTGCTGAGCCCACAAGTTGGATCAGACGCTAATAACAGCCAATGATTGTAGCTAAAATTAGTGGAAGTACTTTTTATATAACTAACTTGTGACCACAATTCATATAGCTGTAATCATTGTCAACTGATTACCAATGGACATCAATGTGGCATCTCAAGCACCATGCCAAGAATTAATTCAGAATGTGTTGCTTTCCAATTTAACAATGTTTTGAGATGAACTATAGAAAAAATGGGTTATTTCCTGCACGCCCCCAACTTTATGCACTAAACAGCCATACTGTACTGGCAAGACTATCTCCGCAAGCCTATCAGCCCCATCCTCAGTTCCATTGCCTTCCCATCTCCCAGGAGATGGAATTTAAGATCATTGTTTGTGCCTTTAATTTCTCCATAATCTCCCCACCCTACCATGGCGGTCTCCTTCAACCCTACTGACCTGGCTGCTCCCTTTGCTTGGCAAGCACTGGTCTGCTTCATGTCCTCAGCCCTATCCGCTCTACCATAGGTGCGGTGTGTAGGCCTTCTGACATTCTGTACCCACTCTCTCAAACGCTATCCCGTAGTCCCGATCACTTGCTCTCTCCCTCATCTCATTCAAGGTCCGTCTCGAGATGTAACTCATTGATTGCTTTCGGTCATCTTTTCTCTCTCCGCCCACTGGCTCCTATTGCAAGCTTTCCCCAACCAGCAATTTTAATTGCTATAGGACATCTTCCTGATAGGGCTGTATAAATTTGTATTATAGACTGAATTTGAACAAGGAAAAGGAGAACATTTGCAGGGATGTTGACTGTTTAAGCCCAAGCTATTGTGTACTCTGCAAAATTAAAATTTTAACCGGATTTCTGAGGTATTTTCATTAAACTCTACTGTTACCTCAGGTTTCCTAAAAGTAGAGCTTATTAAGATGCTACCTCAGGTAAAATGCTACATTTTAACATATCTGTATCTACTTCCCGTATTGGCACTATAGGTAAATATCTTTATTTGATAAGGTTTGTGCTCATCAGGGTGAAGAATATCAGTGGTGAGGAACAGAAAACTGTTCTATCCTTTTCCTCAAGTATTGCACGAGTTGCTAGGGAGCCTAATTTAGGATGGCTGGGTAAACCCACGATTACATCTGTTGTTGGTCAGATGTATGGATCCAGACTCTTATCGCATCCCATTTACACCTCATGGACCCCCACCTATTTGAGGCACTGCTCCCATAGTTTGACACAACAATAATTGCTACAAGTTCTAACTTCTTGGTGGGGTCATCAACAACAACTTGCATTTATATAGCGCCCTCCACGCAGGGTAGCGTCTCAGAGCATTTTAACAGTGGCTGAACCTGAATCCGAAGCGGGGGGATGGTGGTCGTAAGCACAATCGAAGAGGAAGGTTTTCAGGCGGGACTTGAAAAAGGGGAGAGAGGGGGCAAGGCGGAGGGACCGAGGGACAGTGTTCCAGATTCTCGGGGCGTAGTGAATGAAAGTGCGACCTCCAATGTTGGGGCGGAGGGTGCAAGAAATGAGCAGGAGGCCGGTGCCA